GCGTGCCCGGGCAGCGCCAGGCCGGGACCGCGGGGCCGCTCGGGCACGTCCGCCTCGGCCCCGGTTCCTTCCGGAGTCCCAGGTCGGAAGCGCGGCGAAGCCCGTCCCGCCGTGGAGTGAGGAACTTAGGTAGACCAGTGCAGTCGTCCGCGGGGAGGCTCGCAAGAGTCGGGGCCCTCCCCGTTTGTTCTTTTCAACCTGCGGCCTCTGCTGATTCAGAGTCCTAGCTCGTGAGGCGGTTTGGCAAGTCTTTAGCATCTCCTGTGCGGCAGGAACGGCTCACAACCAAGGTACTTATTGGAGGAGCTGCTCTGGGCCAAACAGTGGGTGGAAGCTGGGCGGAGCCAGAGCTGGACTTCTCCTTGGAGGAGCTTGCTCACGCGGACCGGGAGACCCGACTGGCGGGGAGAGGGTTACCTGCAGTGGGAGGGGATTACGGTGTGATTGCTAGCCTCGTAAATTACGTAAAACAAAATACGGGAACAGAGCAGTGACCACCCGATTCCCTGAGGGAAAAGGCTTCTGTTTTTTCTCAGGTAATTTGTGGTTTTGTATGTGAATTAATTGCCCGGAAAGCAATCACCAAGGTAGCATTAATTTCTGTCCTTGAGAACTAGTTGATTGTGGAAGGAGGCTCAAATGGGGGAGCCGTAACTCTAAGAGTAGCCACGTTCTCTGACCCTGTCCGGCTGCATCCCCCCCACACCGCTCCCAGCCCCTCTGGCTGAGCCCCGGGAGTGGGTGTGTAGAAAGGCTGTGACTTCACGCTCAGGGACCAGCACAACTGAGAAGCGAGACAGGCCTCACAACAGCATACTCAGTTGCTAGGTTATGAGCTTTTTTAAATCACAGAAATAAAATGCGATGGAAAGGTTACTGCACTCCACAGACTAATGGCTCCTTCCATTCTTCTCCAGGCCTAAGACACAAGTGTACCTACACAGGATTTCTGGTTTGTCCTTACAGAAAAGGCTTCGTGTTCTGTCTGTTTCTCTAAGTTGCATTTCTTACCACACAGTATACCTGTAGTGTATCCCAGAGGTGAGAGTTTGACATTCTTTTTCACAGCCGCAGAATATTCCAGATTGTGGAAGTGACAGTGTATTCAACAGTGTCCCGGGCTTGTTGCTGTCATAAACACCCTTGTACACATATTCTATGTACCGCCAGCTCGCCTGTTCTTTGAGGCAGTTTCCTTTAATCTGGGAAGAAAATTGACTGTAGTTTATTTTCAGATTGAAATATGGCACAATTAAGAAGAGCTCTTAGAAGAAATCTGAGTTTTAAGCTTGAGGAGAAATCTGGTCCTGGTGAAGAAGTCTGAGTTTAAGACCATTCTGTCCTTCATTAATAACTTTGTGACCTTGGGCTTATCACTTAACCTTTTTCATGTGGGGATCAGATTGGATAAGGTCTTGAGTCACTTCCAGTATTAGGTTTAGAGCTCTTTGTTTCCCTCTATGTATCCCCCTGCTTTTCTATCTCCAATGCTGACTCCTTATGTGTAACTCTTATCTATCCTTCAGAGCCCCTCTATACAAAGCCATTCATGGTCTTCCACTTTTCCAAAGCTAGAAACATTCTACTCTGAGCCTCCTAAAGCATGATTCCTCTTTTATCACTTTTAAACCCAAAATTATAATACTTTGTCTGTAGATACCTTTTTTGACAGTAAGTACCCTAAGGGCAGGATCTCTGCCCAGTCCATCCTTGTCATCAACATCAGCACTGGACCTCACCTCTGATAGTAGCTACTCCAATATGTGGTGGGTCTAGACGACCATATCTCAGAAGGAGGTGTTTGGAATGGAAAGAAGAGGTTAGTTCTGGGGCCTTGGTACATTGACCTGCTAGTTTAGACACATTACAGGAGATTTTATGTGAGTTAGCAGCCTTTGTACATAATATATTCTTTGCCTTTATTAGATCTAAGGTAAACTCTTTCTCCCTCACAGGTCAGTAGCAAATAATTTTAAATTATCTTAAATTTCTTAACTGATAGATACATCTGACTTTTAAGCAAAAAGCCCAGTCTTAATTCACAGTGTCGGGGACTTGTTTTAGACCATCTCCTCGGCTGCTCTGCACAGCCACGAAACAGAAGAACAGCGGCCGGAACCTGGAAGAGGACGTGGGTCAGAACGAACAGAAGACAGATACCCCCTCTCCAGAGAAGATACTCATGGACGAGAAGGTCAAGCTAGAGGAGCAGCTAAAGGAGACTGTGGTAAGGTCACGCAGGCTCTCGTGGGGAAGTGTGATCTGCTGAACTCAGGTGAGGTTCTTCAGAGGACCTCTGGCCAGATGAGTTGGGTCATTTGTCTGAGAACTGCGGTCGGGTCCTGCAGCAAGTTCCTGCTGAAGAAGGGACTAGAACGCAAATCCTCTGTGGCTCTGGTTCTGTCATGAGAATCTTCTTCACACGCTGCATAGATGATATTGAATTAAGACTTGAGGTGGTCCTTACAAGTGAAGCACATTCACTGCAGTCCTTAAGCTGGGTCTTACGGAAAGCCAAGTGTTGGGACCAGAGGTGTGGTTATGTGGAAGTCTTCATAAGGAGGGAGGGGTGTAGTGAACCAGTTAGAAGGACAGGTTATTACTCCACGTGAAAAGGCACAGGTGGCACAAATCAGGTTCTTTAGGGATTTGAAAATAAACAATTTATGCTGGTCTTTTCTAACCACCTTATTTATATTAATCCTCCTAACACCCTGTGAGTCAACGGTTAGAGCCCTGGTTACAGACGAGGAAACTGAGGCACAGCCCAGGTTTGAGCCTCAGGAGCCATGTTCTAAACCACTGCGCTAGAATCACCTGTAACTGGAGGACAGAGGCCCCAGAGCTAGAAGTGCTCAGGAGATGAGTGGCGTAACAGGAAAATTGGTGGGAAATGGAGAGGGCGCCAGCAATCGGTGATTGTTACCCAGTCAAGTGTTGGGACGGGGCCACTGGGCAGCAGTCAAAACACCAGAGGTTCACGGATGGGGTTTTCTCTCCTCAGTGGGCTGGCGGTTCTCCTAAACCTCTCCTGGAACTGTGGGCTCTGGGTGCGTCTGCCCCAACCAGCGTTCTAGGACTCCCTGAAGTTGGAAATTCTGTGGGAGTGAGTGGTCCGTCCTTGAGGGGCGATGGGACCGTCAGAACCATGAGAGTTTTTCCTCATCCTTGTCCAGCTGCTCACTGGGGGCTACACAGATACATGACCCCTTGATCTCTTAATCGTTGGAAACAGTGACACGGATGTAACTTCTTTCCACCCAGTAAGCTCTGCTGCCTGTGCTCTAAAATGTCAGACGTAACACATGTTACTTGGACTTGGAATTTGTTCATATCAGATTTGCTTTCTTACGAATTTGTTCCTTGCTTTACTCATGTACGTTTCCTCTTTACCGCCCCCCCTTTTTTGTTAGGAAAAATATAAGCGAGCTTTGGCAGACACCGAGAACTTGAGGCAGAGGAGCCAGAAATTGGTGGAGGAGGCAAAATTATATGGTAACGGTAGACACTATCTGATACTGATCCTAGAAAAATAAAGGGCGGGGAAGGTGGGGGGGGTGGCAGTGTGAGTGTGGAACGGCGGGGTCAGCCAGGGTGAGGAGGTGGGGAGGCCGCTGGGTGCGTTCCCTCCAGTGGAGAGGAGTCTGCAAGGAGAAGTCGCAGCTGGGACCCGCATTTAGAACTGCAAGTGTGACTCCTTTGGTGAGGAGTGTGTGTGTTGCTCTTCCCCAGGCGGACCTCGGTTAACCTGAGGCCGTCTGAGCCTGCACATAGTTCCCGCAGGTCAGCCTCCCGGATGGGCATTTCCGTAGCTAGCTCAGCATTCACACACGTGAAAGTCTAAGATGCTGTCTGCACCGTCAGCATTTGGATATCTTTATCGCTGTCCTTCCCATTTTACATTTGAGATCATTGAGGCTTAAATGACTGGCACTTATCACGAAGCTGGGAAGTTGCGGTGGCCATGCTGAGGCCGGTGCCCCCCGACGCCACGCTCATGCCCCCCAGTGTCCACTAAACGTCAGGTACAGTTTGAGTACTCGCAGAACCTTCTGTACAGCCCCGCGGGCGCCATTCCCCCGCGTTCTGGAAGAGCCTCTTAAGGCTCACGGTGAGACCACAGCTACTTCGCCTGAGGAC